ACAGGATCCTCCATCACAGCCTGGCCTTTGCTGACACTTGCTGGGATGTGAGGATGGGGCACAGCTAACGCTGAGGGTCTGGTCTTAGAGACTCCCTGAAGTCCCCTTGGCTGAGTGTCCCTCCATGAGACAGCAGGCCAGCGGTGCAAACCTGGGAGAGGGGACCTGAGTCCCTGGATGAGAAAGGTGGGGCTGCAGTGGAGCTCAGACACATCTCTCTGCCTGCCATCCCCTGAGCAAGCCCTGGGCATGCCCTCCCCCCACCCTGACCAGCTGGCTCATGGCACGTGGTGGGTCAGGGCTCGGTGGGCACAAAGTGCAGAGGTGGCTGTAACCAGGGTCCTCAGCCCCATGGCCTGTGACCAGAAAGGGTGGCAACGACAAAGGAGCCACAGGAAGGGACTTGTCCCTGCATGAAGAGGATGCAGGGTCATCCGTCTCCATCTTCTCCAGGGAAGGAGGGCTCCCAGCATCCCAGCATCACATCCCAGCATGTCGCATCTGGTTTCTCAGGTATTTCTGGCTGCCGTGTCCTGGGAACAGGCAGAGGCGCAGACGAGGGGTGTTGGGGACTGATCTTGTCTCAGTGGGACAAGCAGCAGCCTGGTGTGGTGACAGGGATTCTGTTACACCCCAGGTTTCTGGGTGCCAGTGTCTGGGTGACATCTCCCACTGCTCTGGCACCATGGTGTATGCTTTGTAGTTCTGCACACCCTCTGCTAAAAGGCTTTTTCACCCAAATTAGCAGCTCTAAGTGTGTCATTGGAGCTTCAGCTGGTTATTGTGTCCCTGCAGTGGCACATGGCTTCTAGGTGGTGCTCAAGGAATCCTTCCTGCCAGGTGATGGGCTTCATCCCTTATGGTCTGGCTCTGCCCGGAGCAGTGTTGCTGCCAGGGCCAGGGACTGTCACTCTTCATCCCGGGGGGGGGCAGAGGCTGGGTCTTTGCTCCTGGCCTCTCTCCACTCAGCCAAAGAAGTGCCAAGGTCAGATCATCTGACGTTAAACAGCCTGGCTTCATTAGTGCCACCCAAAATCTACCCCTGCACCTCAGCTGGGGAGCAGCCTACATCTCCAACAGGCCAGGAACTACCTCTAAAAGCTCTGCACTAGGGCTGGATTTAGTCCTTGGTTTCAGCACAGGCTCTTGCATCGTCAAAGCCTTCCTTGCCATGTAACTAGGTTTGGATTTGTGCCAGGGTGGTTGCAGTGGCAGCTGCTGCCAGGAAGGTCCTGACGAAGCCCAGGAGGGAAGGGCAAGCAGCATCCTCATGTGTCATAGCCAGGGAGGACAACTGTGGTCCTGCTGTCTGTACTGCACCAAACTGGGGCTGATGCTCTGCATCCTCAGCCCTGCATCCCTCCTCCTCCTTTGGTAGCCCTGATAGCTTCATCCTCAGGGAGAAAAACAGGAAGAAAGTGTCCCCAGTGAAAATGGGTGGTTTTCTGCTCATTTAGGTCTCTGTGCTGGTTAAGGCCAGGCCAAGGAAGAAACAGTAGCGGGTGCCTGGCAGGAACCAGACTGACCCCAGTCTTCCTCACCAGCCTGTTTCTGTTTATGTCATTTCATGCCTCTTATACGAGATTTACCAGTCCTCCCACAGACGGTGGGACTGGATTCTGAATGTTCTGGGGACCAGTTTTTGGCATTTTATGTTGACTTTTCTTGCGAGACTCAAGCACTCAGAGTGGACAGGTGGGCTATGGGTTCCATCTCAGCTCCTCTTTGCCAACAGTGAGGAAACAGAGGGTAGTGAGATCCTGGCCCAGGTTGCCCAGAGAAGCTGTGGCTGCCCCATCCTTGGAGGGGTTCAAGGGCAGGCTGGATGGGGCTTTGTAGCAACCTGGACTAGTGGAAGGTGTCCCTTCCGACCCAAACCATTCTATGATTCTATGAAAGCCATCACTTTTTAAGCAGACGGCTGAACAGAGAACTGAAGTTTCTCACACAGAAGGAGCTCACGTCACTCTGGCCCCGTTGAGCCCCTTTCTAAATCTGGAAACCGAGCGCTGGTGAGCAGGTTCCACGTTTGGTCACCAGCTCCCCTCCCACGCGCGGGCAGGTAGGATGCGGATGTGGAAAACCACCGACGCAATTAGCAGCAGGCGGCGTTTTGCCTCGGCAGCGGCGTCTCCCAGCCCCGGCTCAGGCATGCCAGAGACACCGGCGTGCAGCCCCGGCTGCTCCGCTCAGGGCAGGCGCCGAGCATCTCCCCCAGCACTGCGGACACCTTTCCCAGCAGGAAATATCATTTTGAGAACTGCAGTGCCAACCATCTCACAGGCTGGTGCTCTTATGCAGGATTATCATAGACTCATAGAACGGTTTGGGTTGGAAGGGCCCTTCCAGTCCATACAGTTCCAGCCACCTTGCCCTGGGCAGGGACACCTCCCACCACACCAGGTTGCTCCAAGCCCCCTCTAACCTGGCCTTGAACCCCTCCAGGGATGGGGCAGCCACAGCTTCTCTGGGCAACCTGGGCCAGGCTCTCACCCCCCTCACAGCAAAGAAGTTCTTCCCCACATCTCATCTCAATCTCCCCTCTTTCAGTGTCAAACCCTTCCCCCTCATCCTATGGCTCCCTTCCCTGATCCAGAGTCCCTCCCCATCTCTCCTGGAGCCCCTTGAGGGACTGAAAGATGAGGAGAATCATTCACTTTCCTTCCGTAGCCATTAGGAGAATCATTCACTTTCCTTCCGTAGCCAGTGATTCATGCGGGTGGTTGGTAATTCCAAATAATTAATTACCTGGATATTCCAATATCTGGATTGGTAATCCAGAGAGGATTAACTGATGTTCTCTTACTCTGGCCCAGATGCTAGCAGGCCAGGTGACACGTCCCATTTCTGGCTGTAGAAGCAGAAATCACCCATTGTCCGCAGACATTTGGCTCGGTGCAGGCTGTCAGCACTGCGGTTACCCATGGCCGGGTCAGGAGACCATCCTTCCCTTGCTCACCGCTCTGCACCCAGGGTGCTGAGCATCTCCGGGAAGTCATCTGGTGCCCGGCCAGGGGGGCTGTGTGGGCGCGAAGGGGGAAGGCAAGTGACTGTGCCACAGGAACAGGAACAGCCTGTGGGCAGCACCGCGGCTGCCACCAGCATGGGGGGGGCAGAGGGGAAAATGGTTTGGTGACCTCAGGAGACACCCTCTGCCTTGCTACACACCCCTGGTGCACCCCAGGGTGGTCGCCACAGGGGAGAGGGCACATCCGTCACCACAGAGATGCGATTCCATGGTTGGTACCAGGCATCCAGCGCAGCTGGAGGAGGTTTGGTATCTCTTCCCCTCTCCAAGCTCTGGACCAAGCTGCCTGCCCGCTGTGCCAGCGGGTGATGCTGTAGTAGCCCCCTGGCCTGCAGAAGGAGACCTGTCATTGCCTCCCTTCTCCTCTCCGTGACCAGGAGCTGCCCCAGCGGCCCAGCTCGGCGGGCGGTGGAAATCGGCAGCGGTGGCTGGGTGCCAGGCCTTGTCATCCAGCCCCGGGGCCAGAAGGAAAGGCCACACGGGTCTGGGGTGGGTTTTGAAATCTTCCCTTGCTGCAGGAAACCTTTAATGAGCTTCTGAAAGCTGCCGAGAGCAGGATGCTCGGCTGGGGCTCTCCTGTGCATGTCCGTCCGTCTGTCCGTCTCCCCTGTGGCCACAGAGCTCCTGGGTTTGCTGGTGGATTTTTACAGATGTAGGATCTATCTGGGTAGAGTTAGGCCCTAAATCTGCAAATTAATTAGAGCAAATCCTAAATAGAGCAAAGACATGAGCCAGGAGTGTGGGCTGATGGCCTGGCTGTGCTGGGAGGGATGCAGAGGACTAACGAGGCTGCGTTGATATTGCTGCCTGCACTGGTTTGGGGACCGCTGGAGGTGGGCTCCAAATGTGGGTGTTTCAGGGAAACCATAGAATGGTTTTCAGAGCTGTGGGCTGGGGATTTTTCCATCCCACAAGGCAAGAAGAGAGGACAAAACCTGCTGGTTAGAAAAGCTTTGGTCTAAAAATGCTGAAAACGGTGGTGCAGCTCACTCAGGCTGTAAGTACAGGCTGCTCCATCCTGCGGTTGCTGCCGTGCCCGTGGATGGGGAGACAGGAGAGGGCAACACACTGGGGGAGATTCTACCTCGCTGTGGGTGCTGGGGGTCAGGACCACAAGGCACTGGAGCTGCCGGGCGGGAGGAACCCAGTTGTGGAGTAGATGGCTGCATCTGAGGATCCCAGCGGTGGTATTTCACATAGAAGATGCCGGCATCTCCTCCCCGCCGTGCCGGCTCCCCAGCCTGCCTGGGGTCCTGTCACAGGCGAATCTCCCTTCCTTCTTCCTCAGCTCTTGGGATTATTTCTTTTTTTTCCCTCTTTCTTTGGAGAGAACAATGCTTGAAGGCAAGGGAAGCTGTCTGGCCCCAGGCTGGCTTCTCTCTGCAGCACAGCTGGGCTCCCGAGCTTTCCCTGGGGTTTGTTTCTCCGGGATGCTGGATCAGAATGGCAATGGATCAGAACACCAGGCGTAGGAACCCCATGGAAATTTGGGGCCCTTTTTTTTTTTTTTTTTCCCCTCCTTTTCTGGTTGGACTTTGCATTTCAGGCTCAGCTTGACTTACCTGGAACATTTCTTCTTAAATCCTGGGGAGGAGAAGGTTCCCGACCCTGTCCTGCTTGGTGATGCTGATGCTCATCCCTGGGGGCCTCCTGGCTTTGGGGGCCAAGTGCTCAGATGCGTTTAGCTTTGAGCTGCATCTTTCTCCAGCAAAACACAGCCCCTGAGACACGCTGTGTTCACCCTCAGGGCTCTGTCTCCCTGCTGGACATCCTCCACCCAGGGCTCCTGCGCCCACAGTGTCCCGGTGGCTTTGTGGTCCTTCCCAAGGTCCAGGCTGATCCTGATCTCCACCACCAGCCTGAGCGTGTCCTGTTTTTCCACAGGTGAGACACAGGACCCAAGGCCATGCCCGAGAGGAGTGAGGAGCAGCCGTGCACTCGCCCCATTGCTGTAGTTGCCCCGTGGCCACCGTGCCCACCCCGTGCTGCCCACTCGGCCCGGCCATGGAGAGCGCAGGTGGGTGATGCTGACACCTCCCGGGGTGCTGGGGTGGGGAGTCCTGGCCAAATTAACCTGCCTCATCCACCTTCTTGTCCCTCCGATAAAATACATGGGTATCTAAGGGGGATCAATTGCCTCTGGGCAGACCTTGCTCTTTGTAAGGGGTTGGCAGGTCACGCCGGATGGGTGAGAAATGAGGCATGAAGCAACTGAGGGGCAACCAAAAGATTTGCTGTAGGGGGGGACTGCAAAAGCACCAGGTCTGGCAACCATTCACATTTGAATTTTGAAGCAGTTTTATATTTTATTGCAATTTTTTTAATGTTCATTTCCCCTCCCCCTCCATCCCAATCTGTGTGTTATTTTCATGCTGTTTCACAAGGCGGTATCAGTCTCCCGGCACCCCAAGGTCAGGATATCAACACTGAAAAATTGTTGCTTTTTTTTTTTTTTTTTAATTTCTAAGCCATTCTGTTTGTCGCTGGTAGGTTGAGGCTGTTTTTAGATTAAAGTGCCTCTTGTTTGTGTTGGAGCAAACGCTTTGACGCTCCGCTCCCCACGAAGAAACCTCAGTGTATCACGGCTGCAGTCGCTTTGATTTAGGAAAAGAGGACAGTGTTTATATCAGTGCTCAGGAAAACCTTCCCCTGGTAATTAAAAACACACAAAACCAAAAAGAATAGGAAATTTCAAATAGCCCGTTATTGTGTAATTCCCCCGTGCAAAACCAATGATCTTAACAGTGAAATTGAGGAGCTTCTCAAAATCACTGGAGAGAAAACAAAAAGGAGAGAAAATACAAATTTCCAAAGCAAAATTTTTACATTTCCCCAAACGACACTTCCAAAATGAGCAAAAATTCCCATTTCAAAGGACATTTTTGCTCTGTGTCTCCCCATGTGGGTGCCATGGCATGGACTGTGCTGGCAGAGGTGGAACTGCCCGTGTACACGCACGCACACACACACACACACAGCTTCACCAGCACGTGTGGGTAACTGTGAAGCCGAGTGTGTGGTTGGTTTCTAACGTAGCTTCAATGGAAGCCAGGGCCGTAGATAGTCCTCCTCTGCAGGAGAAGCCTGAATTGAATGACTCGTCCACACAGACATCCTTAAAGTCCCTGGGGTCAGTAAATAGGAAAACTATTTTGGTTCTTGGGCCGACCTCAGCACCAGGCCATCTCCAATACTTTAAATGTTGCATTTTCCCGCTGACTTTGCTGCAGGGCTCGTGTCTTCTGCCCCTCTGCCCTGGTCACCATCCCACTGGACCTGTGGCACTGCAGTCTTTGGGCCTGGAGAGGGCAAGGGTGGCTTGTCCTGTGTCTGACCACGCTGCCAGCCTGGTGAGGTGGTGACAAGGAGGCATCAAGGATGCTGTGAGGGGCAAAGTGCTCCTGCTCTCTGCTGTGCATCGCCAGTGGGAATGGTGGCAACTGTGGGGTGCTGTGTCCACTCCCCTGCACGATGACCCTGGGCTCACACACCCTCTAAAAGACACTGTAGAAGAGCAAAAAAACATCTCTGGTTTTTGCTTCAAACCCATCCTGAGGTGGTGCAGGTGTCTGCATGGGATGAAGGGGCAGCAACTCAAAGCTGTCCCATCTCCTGCATGATCATGTCTTGATGGTCCTCTGTCCACAGAAGCACTCACTGGAGAGTTCCCTGTTGGTCTGACCCTCCAGCTGAGCTGTTAAATCCCCCCTATTTTCCCTGTTTTCTTTCCCATAGCTCCCAACCCACCTCCCCCAGTCACTGTTCTTTGTAAAGCCCAAAGCACCACCTGCTCCACCAACCAGACCCAGTCCAGTTGGCCTTATCTCCTTCCAGAGCCAAGGAAGGATGTTTGGAGGCCATGGTCCTTGAGCGCAGCTCTAAATAGTGTCACCCTGGCTGCCTCCTCTGTTTCTTGTAGGTAAAGATGCGTGTGAGTGCCCACCACTGTCCTTCTGCCATCTCTCCGATGTTAGGGAGGATGAAGCTGTGGCAGAAGAGGGTGAGGAGGGAATGAACAAATTCAGGAGCAAAACCGGGCAGTGAAAGAGGTGGTGATGACACCAATCCTAAAAGGCAATGCCATGTGGATGAGACAGTTTAGACCAGGCAGTATGTGTCTGGAGCTCCCTTAGGACCTGGGTCAATTGCTCCTTCCTCCCACCCTTGCCACACAGGTGGCACCCTCACACCCTTGCCGCTCAGCTGCGGCTGTCAATGGTCCAGACCCCACCAGTGAACACGGAACCTGCCCCAGGAAAGAGCCCTGGGATATGGTTACCACAAACATCTCAGCTCCTCCTTTGGGTCAGGCCATGTTCTGGCTGCTCCACCCTACAGCCTCTTACAGAAGGAGCATGTCAAGTAATAATACCCAACTTTATATAATGCTTTGTTTTTTTTTTTTCAAATGTTATTACAAAGGAATAAGAATCATTTTACTGATGGCGAAAGAGTAGCCCAGGGTAAGGAGGGACAGGCACAGAGTAAAGGAACTTTGCAGCTTTCCTGCCTGACACCCCACGTGCCCTCAGGGCTGACAACTTGACATCTGCGATGTGTTGGTGCACATGGCCACCACGAGCCCTCGCCCCCATGTACAAGTCATACCTCAAACTGGGTCTGAGGTTGTCAAAGTTACTCTTGGCCAGGAGCAGGATGCAGTTTTGACGTCTGTGAGGAGCATGTGATGGTTACCAGGCAGCAGCACCGACCTTGGGTCCCTGCTTGGGGGAGCAGAAGATACTTGGTGTCCACAGGTGGCTGGTCGCACATCGGAGAGAGGCTGTGAGAGGTCACAGGTGGAAGGCAGGAGGTGATATGGCCAGCCTGGTGGCCCTGCCTGGGTTTCCTAGGAGAAGTGAGATGCCCCTGTGGGCAGCAGACCTTGTTGCAAGAGTGCTCCTTGTGATAGGTGTAAGGTCGAGGCCAAATCCATGTGGTGCCAAAATGCAGAGATGTCTCTGCTCTTTCATGGTGCCAAGTGGTGGTTTAATTTTGTAGTTTCTATATTTAATGTGTGATATTTTTTTTTTTTGTTGAACAAAGGGAGAGAAGGGCTCTGAAGAGCTCATACACGCATAGTCCTCTGCAGAGCTCCCCTACCACCACATCCCTGCTGGACTGCTTTGCTCTCCAGTACGGCTGCATGGGCCACCAGTCCATGGGGTGACATGTGCTCCCCAGATCCAGTGGCCCTGGAAAAGTGTTGGGAAAGTTTCCATCAAGACTCATCTAGGCTTGAAACCTGAAGAGACAGCCAACCTGAGGGAGGTGGGGAGGGTGCAGTCCCCATAGTCACTGCACACCGAAAACAGTGTCTCTTGCTCTGGGGTTGTCCCCAGGTGCCAATCCCCCAGGGGCACTGGCCTGGCTGCTCATGTCCTCTCCATCCCTGCAGAGGTGGAGTCGGACATCCTGCGCCGCGTCCGCACGCTGCTGCGAGAGCTGGATGGTCACCACCCCTCCTGCCAGAGCGACCGAGGTAAGGTGGACCCCCAGCACCCTCACCTCCTGTCCCCCCTGCTGCCTCCCTGGGGCATTGCGTGGCCTCAAACCTCACTGTTCCCCTCTCTCAGATGGCATCGGGGTTGGGGGACATAGGGTGGCCTCACCTCCCTGGCCCTGCTCTGTCCTTTCTATCCTGCTCCTGGAGGTACTAAAACTTTGGCGAGCTCCTGGTGTCTGCCAAACCAACCTCAGCAGCTTTCATCCCTCCTCCTGCACCCTCTACACCCTTGACTTGCCCAGGGGGGTCCAGCATTGAGGTGGGACATCAATTGCCAGAGTTTGTGATGCTGTTCCCAGCTCTGACACCGACTTGCCACACAGCCCTGTCCAACTCATTTAACAGCCCCGAGCTGGAGTGTCCCCGTCTCCTTCTGCGGGGCTATGGCTCAGCTCCTCACCAAAGACTCAGTTGAAATCCCTGAGTTATGGTTTTGGAGAATAAAACCCTATCTGACCCAACGACTGGACTGCTACAGCCTTAGGAAACTTAATTAATTTTGAAAAAAATATTTTCACTGAATTTCACTGAATTTCTAGAGTTGGAAGGGACCATAGAGATCATCTAGTCCAACTCCCCTGCTGAAGCAGGATTGCCTAGAGCTAGAGCATGTTATTCAGGACTCCTTGGAGTGCACAGAATATTTTACAGTTAATTAAGCTTGATTTTGTCTGGACTGAACACTGACATCTGCAGGACTGAGATGCTCTGTGGTCCTTGCTCCGAGTGCAAGCTGTTGGCAGGCAATGTTCAGATGTTGGGACCAGCAGGAGCCCACCTTCCTGGGGGCAGGCGGTGAAGGCTGGTGGTTGTGAACAGAGCAACAGAGGGAACCCGAAAAAAAACCTTCATGTCCATTGCCCTTCCTTGCTTTCCTCCAGCCCCCCAGTCCTAGGATCTCTGCTCCCAGTCCTCTGCTCTGCCATCGGGAGGCTTCATCTGGAGCACTGGGTCCAGTTCTGGGTTCCCCAGTTCAAGAAAGACAGGGAACTGCTGGAGAGGGGACAGCAGAGGGCTACGAAGATGATAAGGGAACTAGAACACCTCTCTGATGAGGAAAGGCTGAGGGGACTTAGGTTTTTTGAGTCTGGAGAAGACTGAGGGGGTATCTGATCAATGCCAGTCTTTTTTCAGTGGTGCCCAGGGACAGGACAAGATGGAACAAGCACAAACTTGGACAGAGGAAGTTCCGTCTAAACATGAGGAGGAACTTCCTTCCTGTGAGGGTGGCAGAGCCCTGGCAGAGGCTGCCCAGAGAGGTGGTGGAGTCTCCTTCTCTGGAGACATTCAAACCCCACCTGGACATGTTCCTGTGGGACCTGCTCTGGGTGACCCTGCTTTGGCAGGGGGTTGGACTGGATGGTCTCCAGAGGTCCCCTAAAACCCTATATCACTCTGTGATTCTGGGACATTTTGCCAGAGGTTTCCCAGTGTTAGAGGTGCGATACATCAATGCTGCATCTGGAATCAGGGCAGCTGTGTGACTTGCCCCTTGCAGAGGGCCACTGATTGAAGCAGAGGGCAGAGGAGTTTGGTTTAGCTCTGATAATGATGTCAATGTAGCATCCTGGGGGGGATTTTTGCAGGAAGAGTGCCCAGGTCTCCTGATTCCTCTGTCAGACCCTGCCACTGATCCATCACTGCTCTGCTCTGCAACCTGACCTTCTTTGTTTTCACTTCTCAGGGATGCTGCGATGGACCCTGCATAAAAAAATCGACCAGAATCCCAGTAACGGCTCCATCCTGGTCCGGATCCTGGTGAAGGAGCTGGAAAGGGTGAGTGCCACCTCGGAGACACCCCCTGAGTTCTGGGATCAATCCCTGTGTGGTGTGTCCCACTGTGGGGTCCTGGGGAGCAGAGGGATGGGAACACAACTCCACCCACAGGGCTCTGCCTCCCCCCTGGAGCATCCTGGGCTGGAGATGGCAAAGGTGTTTTTAGGGACCTTGAGCCTGGCTGGGGACTGTAACTCAGAAAACAGCTAAAAGTTCTGTGGCACAGCAGGGAAGAGATGTAGCTCATCTGGTTGATGGCTTCAGGGACCAGGGTTTGCCCGAAAAGTGACAGTGAGCCACGGGCAGAGCAGGGAACCTCCTCAGGAGATGCTGCAGCAGCCATGGACCCTTGCAGCTTGGAAACAACAAAGCGCAAAACGCTTCTGAGCACCCCCAAGTCCCCCTCATCCCACTCCAGCCAGCTACAGCCCCAGGTACAGTGGAAATTTCTCCTCCATGGTACTCATTTCTGCCCCAGAAGGTGTCAGAGCAGAAATGTCTAACCCAGTATCCTGTCCTGAAGCATCTGATGGAAATCCTGTCGCGGATTTTTTGTTTCATTGATTTGTCCTGTCATTTTCCGGTTTTGTGTAAACCTTTAGCACCCTCAGCATCCTGCTGCGACCTGGTTTGTGGTTTGATGAGATGTCATGTGTAGAAGTAACACCTCTTCTTTCTTATGAGCCTGCCTCATTTTACCCAGCACCCTCTCATTCCGCTGCAGGGAGGAAGAGCCCATGTCCCCTCACCTCCTCCTCCTCCTCCCCACCCCAGCGAAGGGCCCCTGTGAGTCGTCCTTTGTGCAGAAACCTCCCCATACTGTTTTCTTTCTTTGCCATTTCTCCATTCCTCTCTGCTCTGCTATGGGGAGACCCCACCTGAAGCACTGTGTCCAGCTCTGGAGACCTCAGCACAGGAAGGACATGGACCTGTTGGAGCAGGGCCATAGGAGGCCATGGAGATGTTGGAAGGGCTGGAGCCCCTCTGCTGTGGGGACAGGCTGAGAGAGTTGGGGGGTTCAGCCTGGAGAAGAGAAGGCTCCAGGGAGACCTCAGAGCCCCTTCCAATCCCTAAAGGAGCTCCAGGAGAGATGGGGAGGGACTCTTGATCAGGGAGGGGAGCCAGAGGATGATGTGGAAGGGTTTGACACTGAAAGAGGGGAGATTGAGATGAGATGTGGGGAAGAAATTCTTTGCTGTGAGGGTGGTGAGAGCCTGGCCCAGGTTGCCCAGAGAAGCTGTGGCTGCCCCATCCCTGGAGGGGTTCAAGGCCAGGTTGGAGGGGGCTTGGAGCAACCTGGGCTGGTGGGAGGTGTTCCTGGAGGGTTGAGACTGGATGGTCTTTAAGGTCCCTTCCAACCCAACCCATTCTATGATTCCTTTCGAGCTGGAAGGATGGAGCCACCTCACGGGGTGTTGCTCAGCTCCCATGTCTCCTGCCTGCTGCTGCTCAGTCCCAGGGGGGGACCAACCAGTCATCTCCCTCTGCCAACCCTTTCACGTCAGCCCTGTGCACACATCGCAGCGCTGTGAACATCCAGCAGTTATTCCTGTTCTCTGTTTCCCGCCTTTCCAGCAGCTCCGAGGCCATTTGCGGGCTCTCTCCCCTGTGCTGTGGGGGTTTATCTTCCCTTAGTGCCTTGGGGAGGGCACTCATCCAGCGGCTTTTGCAAATCCAGACACACAGGAACACCCACATCACCCTTGGCTACGGATGCAGGGATTCCCCCGAAGGGCTTGAGGTCTGCCCTGCAAAAGCCTCCTTGTTATAACTGTTATCACTCTGCCACTTTTATCCTTCCATGCCCAGGAGGGATATCAGGTCTCCTGGTCTGTAATTCCCTTCCTCACCCTGAAGGTCTTCTTGGAAATCAGTGTCACTTTTATTTCATTTTATTTTTATTCCTCTGCAGCAGCTCCGAGCAGTCGGTACCAACCGTGAGGGCACTCATCCAGCGGCTTTTGCAAATCCAGACACACAGGAACACCCACATCACCCTTGGCTACGGATGCAGGGATTCCCCCGAAGGGCTTGAGGTCTGCCCTGCAAAAGCCTCCTTGTTATAACTGTTATCACTCTGCCACTTTTATCCTTCCAGGAGGGATATCAGGTCTCCTGGTCTGTAATTCCCTTCCTCACCCTGAAGGTCTTCTTGGAAATCAGTGTCACTTTTATTTCATTTTATTTTTATTCCTCTGCAGCAGCTCCGAGCAGTCGGTACCAACCGTAGATAATAATTTAGCAATTTCATGCTTGAGTTCCTACAGGGTTCTGGGCAAATATCAGCTGGTCTCAGCAACTCAGTAGTGTTCACTTTACCAATCATTTCTCAAGCTTTGTTGCCATCAGTTCCATTTAACTCAGCTCCAGCCGCCCTGGAGAAAGGTGCTGGAAATCTCTTTGGGATGAAAATGTTTTTCCTGGGTTTATCCAGGGGCATTCCCATCACTGGAGCTGTCAGTTAGATCCAGGCTGCGGGGAGGGCTCAGGGATCTGTTGACCTGAGCATCCACCTGGCTTCCCCTGGGCTAGGACGGGGATGCAAGAGCATCTCTCCCCCCTGTCCACTCCGGTCCCACACCCACCAAATGTAAAACAGGCTTTCTGCAGGGGGTTCCCAGTGGTTGTATATTTTTCATATGAATTTTTTGCAACAGAAAGGAGTTCCTTAGTGAGCTCAGTTGGAATACTTTGCTCATGTATGACCTTCACAGCTTTTACTGTGCAAACCACGCTCCCACAGCAGCTCCCAGAGCCTCCACACCCCTACAACAACCTCCAGCCCTGCAATGGGGTGGTGGCAACAGCAGCGTGGTCCACTCCTCCACCTCCCTTTCTTCCCCAAAGCTTGTTTTGCATGGGATGCCCACCAAGCATCCCTGTCTGCCCCAAGGACATCCTGCCCACCCTGGTGGCCTGTGGAGGGACCCTAAACCCCACCTTGACCTGGGGAGCATCCCCCCTGAGCCTGGGCGAGTGTCTGTGCTCATCCTGTGTGCCTGAACCGCTGAACCAACTCACCCTGGGGGCTGCGGTGGCTCCACCAGATCCGGTCCCAGCCCCTGCCAGGTGCTGACTGTGCCTTTTGGTCCCACAGGCGGAGCGAGGTGACTTCAGACATTACATCATCCCCTTGCTGCACACCCTGATGTACGCCTTGATAAAGGTAACCTTCCGTGGGCTTCGCTGGGGAAAGATCCAGGGACCACTACTGAGGAGAAGGATCTGGGGGTCCTGGTGGATAGTAAACTATCCATGAGCCAGCAACGTGCAGTGTCGCCAAGAGGCCAATGGGATCCTGGGCTGTGTAGGGAAGAGTGTGGCCAGGAGGTGGAGGAAGGTCATTCTCCCCCTCTGCTCTGCACTGGGGAGGCCACAACTGGAATCCTGCCTCCAGTTCTGGGCCCCCCAGTTCAAGAGAGACAGGGAACTACTGGAGAGAGTCCAGCGTAGGGCAACAGAGATGATGGAGAGATTGGAGCATCTCCCTGATGAGGAAAGGCTCAAAAGGCTGGGGCTCTTTAGCCTGGAGAAGAGAAGGCTGAGGGCAGACTTTATCTACGTTTACAAGTATCTCAAGGGAGGGTTGAAGGAGGATGGAGCCGGACTCTTCTCAGTGGTTCCCAGTGACAGGACAAGGGGCAACGGGCACAAGCTGGACCATGGGAAGTTCCACTCCAATCTGAGGAAGAACTTTGGGGTGAGGGTGGCAGAGCCCTGGCAGAGGCTGCCCAGGGAGGGTGTGGAGTCCCCTTCTCTGGAGATCTTCAAGACCCGCCTGGATGCTCCTGAGTGATGTGCTCTGGGCAACCCTGCTTTGGCAGGGGGGTTGAACTGGATGATCTCTAGAAGGTCCCTTCTAACTCCAATAATTCCATGATTCCGTGAAATCAGAAGCCACAGGAGGGACCACTTGAAGTCACTCAGCACCTCCTCCTGTACTGAAATACCCCAGTAACTGCCCAGTAAAGCCCTGGGACTACCACAGATGGACTCAACTGTGCATTTCCCAGTGTGATGTTTGATGACTGAGGTACCTGTGACATGTATGGGAGTGACAGGTCCTTCTCGCTGACCCCCTATTCTGGAGGTGTTTAGGTGCCTGATAGTGCAGGAAGCCCCAACCTGGCAAAAATGTGTGCCCACAGTCCTGCAGTGGGTATTGCTGGAGATTTCCATCAATTGTAGGCCTGGTTCTGCTTCATATATTGCATTTAAATCCACATTGAATGTGGTGTATCTCTGTGCCCTCCCACCCTGGGGTCTGTTTTGGGGGACAGCACTGTTAGGGATCATTCCTGTGGAATCTCCTTATCTGCCCCTTTCTCACCCCAGGCCCCTTGCATCTCCGACGAGCTCTGCAGCAGAGTGTATGATTTCTGCAAGAAGCTGCTCACCCTGCCCAAGCCCTTCTGCACCATCGGTTTGGACTATGCCATCAGGCTGAAGATGGAAAGGACAGCACCGGGTAGGAGGACTTCTCCACCCTGCCCTATGCAGGGCACGGTGAACAGCTTTGGTCCTTGAGGCGATGGTGGTGGGGTCTTGGGGGAGGTTCCATACCTGAGCTGGCCTTTGTCTGATGCAGCGAGCCGTGGCAGGGGTTTCTGCAGGGGGCTGGCCCAACACTGGGGGCTCTTAGGGATGCATTTGGATGGGAGGGTTGCCCTACACTTATTTGTAGCTGATGAGCCTTAGTTACTGATGGAAAACTCTAGGGTCTTCCTGCTGTCCTCTGGCTGCACCAGAGTCAAGTCCAGCCCATCTTAAGGCAGGTGTATACACAGCCTCTGTCTGTGTAGGAAACAGGGTGCTTCCACTCCCAGCCAGGGCATCTTGGTAAATGTTATGGAGGTCTTCATTCTGCAAAGTAAACTCTCTATCTGAAATTGAGTTGCAGGCTGTCCATCCCTCCACTACTCTGTATCATGTTCTAGACACTAAAACATCATTAGTTCCTCCAGAGATCAGCCCCTTTTAGAAAGAAAGCTGGAGGAAAACTCTATTTCCCTTGTTCTTTATGCTGCTCATTAAAGTTCTTCACGGTAAAGTCTTCTTTAGTAATAGTCTTTAAAAGCAATCCTTTAAAACAGTGCAAGGTGCAAACACTTTGTGAGGTGGAAATAAAAGATGAGAAACCTGGTGGGAAATTAGAGAGAAAGTTCCATTCTTGGTAGTCTCAGCCCATCACCATCACCCCGACCACTCTTCCCCAGTACCACTTTGTCTGGAGCTCCAAAGTCCACCTTTATTTCACCTGGCTTCAGATAAAACAATGATTCAGTGTGGAGAGATGGGGATCTCCAGCTGGGCTTTTGGAGCACTGTGAGGTTCACAAGATAATTGTACCCAAGCAATGTGGGGCAGATGTTTCTTCCCCACCCCAGAGCTGGGTGAGAGTAGAGTACATCTCTCCTGATGCAGAAAGACATTGTGTTCTTCATATCTACTTAAATGCTGTCCCCTGATGTGGCCCCGGGCATGGAGGCCGGGAGTAGGGTTCTTCCTCCTGCTTCCGACTCTGCTCTAAAGCTCAAAATCCACTAAACAAAGGAAGGGAAATACAGGAAACTGTCCATGAATAGAGGGGTTTTCTTTTTATGTAGTATGGTCTATCTTTGTCCTTGACTATTTTTAACTCTGAGCCCGGTTCTTGGCACTTTTACACCATCTCCCCACAATGTGTTCACCGACTTGGCAGACCCACCACCGGCCACCGCAGCCGGGAGCCCCGCTGAGCTGCTCTGCTGGGGTGAGCTGTTATTTGTCATGCTCTAACTCCTGCGTGTTTATCTCCTTGCATTTGTTAGGTATGTTGTACCAAAGAATGGTCATTTCTGAACAAAGTCTTAAAAGCGACCCGTACCCTTACCAGGAAAAGTGAGTAGCATCTCTTCAAATATGCTGTTACTTTTTTTTTTCTTTTATAGTCTTACAGTGAAATCTGTCCTTTTCCTGTGCTCTGAATTAATGTTGGATGGAACAGGCAATTTGGACATAAACCCAATGGCAGCACATGGTCTTGCGGGAGCTTTGCACTGGGAGAAGCACGTTCCTCCCATGTGTCTCAATTTATTTCTGTGATCCTGGGTGGCAGGGAGCCTCCCTGGGCAGGCAGAGAGGGCAGAGAAGGGGATTATCAGCAGGAACCCTTTTTCTTTGCATGGGATTTATTTACTGCTTCCAGTTCTGGGCACCCCAGTTCAAGAAGGACAGGGAACTACTGGAAAGAGTCCAACAGAGGCTATGAAGATGATCAAAGGACTCAAGCATCTCTCTGCTGAGGAAAGGCTGAGAGACCTGGGGCTGTTCATCTGGAGAAGAGCAGACTGAGAGGGGATCTCATTGATGCTGAGCAATAGCTGAAGGGCAGGTGGCAAGAGGATGGGGTCAGGCTTTTCTCAGTGGTGCCCAGAGAAGACAAGGGGCAACGGGCACAAACTGGAACACGGGAAATTCCATCTGAACATGAGGAAATTCCATCTAAACTTCTTTTCTGTGAGGGTGGCAGAGCCCTGGCAGAGGCTGCCCAGAGAGGTGGTGGAGTCTCCTTCTCTGGAGATATTCAAAACCGCCTGGACAAGTTCCTGTGCAACCTGCTCTGGGTGGACCTGCTTTGGCAGGACCTGCTTTGGCAGGGGGTTGGACTAGATGATCTCCATAGGTCCCTTCCAACCCTGTCAGTCTGTGAAAATGGAGACATGAGCCCCTCATGCCAGCCTTGATGTTGGTAATGGAGAGTCTTCATCTCATCTCCCTCCTTTCCCATCCTTCCACCCCACGCAGGATTTTCATCTTTGCTGATCCAGAGCTGCTCTCGGAAGCCATCTGCAATGCGCTGGTGACCGACACAGAGGCAGCTCAGGTATCCCAGAGTCCCCAGGCGTGCATGTGCTACGTGATCATCCATGCCATGCAGGCGGCCCTGGGCGAGGGCTGCAACGTCAGTGGCTTGAAGAGAAGCCTCCAGGTAACTGCCACCACTTCCGTGGCACCAAGGGTGGTTTTCCAATGGTACTGCTCTTGCTGGGCAAGTCAGAGCAGGGAAAGGATTTTTGGCAAGTGGGGAGACCCCTCCCAGCTCCTCACTGTGGGTCTCCATCCCCTGTAGCCCCAGTGTTACTTGCAAGGCTGGGCTACAAGCAGAGCTGGTGTTATACAAAAAAAATTCTCCAAATATAAAAGAGCTGCTCCAGAAAGAGCCAGAGGTCTTGAATCTTCGGTTTGAGTCTTTGGTTTTGCAGAGCCAAGCTGGGCTCTGCAGCTGAAATACAGGCTGCTGTGATCCCTGGTTTGGCGTGATGAGCTGTTGGTCATTGCAAAACCACCTCATCAGAAATGGTTCAACTAGTTTTCTCTCAGACCTCCTTCAAGGAGCTGTGGGGCCACAATAAGACAAAAACTCACTTCAGACTTAGGCAGCTTTGCAGGGGATCTTAGCATCTTCCCCTCCAAAGGACTCCTTTGTGTGTCTGCTGTCTCCATCTGCCCAGCTGCCACTGGAGCTGTCACTGGAGCTGCCAGCCCTGCTGCTGGCTCCCTGAGCTGGTGGCAGCTAGGAGCACAGTGCCCATCAGCTGCAAACCTGCCAGAAAGAAATCCTGAAGCAGACAGCACAGCTAGCAGCTCTCCTTCTCCAGCCTTCCCTGGGGACAGGAGGGAAATTGTATCCTCTGCTGCGAAAAGAATAATTTCTGCAGGAATCACTTGCCCTATTTCTGCCCCTCCTGCTGCCCTGTGGGAGCTGTGCCTGCTGTGGAGCATCACCTCTTTTCACACCTCTGGGTGTTAATGGCTGCTCCTCGCAACAGGAGATGCCCACGAGCGACGTCGAGCACTGGTTCCAGCAAGTGGTGGCAGCGGTGGAGTCTGCAGGCCAGGAGGGGAGCGCAGACCGGGACCAGCACGCAGCCAGGCTGGAGAAGATTTACTGCACCATCCTCAGTGCCCTGCAAGCAGGTGAGCTCCAGGCTGGTCGAGCAGGGTGGGCGAAAGGGGCTGGGAAGCTGGCAGGTCCCTGCCTCACTGCCATGTCCTTGCCATTGCCCTCCCACAGCTGCCCATCCCCACCTCCCCTCCACCTCCACTTGGGCAGCGTCCCTCACTGGCATCAGGTCCTCCCAGCCTGGCTCCTTGCCGTGACCTGATGTCCACGATGGCCAGCTGCTGGTGGCAGTGGAAGGCAGGTTTGTCACCTGAGGAAAAGGGGCCGTGTCAATCTCTGCTGCTAATTCAGCTGCCCTGAGGTCCGGAGATGTCTCCATCATTTGTAAAGGGTGCCACAGCTGTCGACCAGGGGAGGTTGGACAGAGTCTCCAGGGCTCTGCTGGTGTAAGGTACATCTTGCTATGGGCTGGACTGGGGAGACACTGTGCACCACTCCCTGAAACCTCCTTGTACTGCTGTGGTGGGCACTGGTACTGCCATCTCCTTCCACCCATGGCAGTGTTCTGTTCCAGCCTGCTGCCATCGGGGCTACACGGACTATAACGAAATGTCCCCATCCATCACAGCTCCTCACACACATTTGGGGTAGACCAGAGGGAAATGGGGGTCATCCTTCCCTCTTCCTGGCTACGCCTGGTGGAAGGTCCCTGTCCCAACCCCCTTTCCAGAAAGTGCTGGAGACAGTCCCAGTGCAAGAAATGGGGAGGAGCAGCCAGTGGTGCAGGGAAAGGAGTGGGACCCTCTCCTTTGGTGGCAGCGAATGATTCAGTTGTCTCACTGCTTCTAGCAGAGCCAAAATGGGCTAAAAATAGCCAGCTCCCCTGTGTCTCAGCTGAGATCACCAAGGGGAGGTCCTGCCATGAGTGTTGAGAATGTTTTATTTATTCAGCAATCCCTCTGCTGCCTGCAACAGAGCAAGGCCCTTCACTTGCCTGTGCTTGCTTCCTCATCCTCATTTCTCCCTTTCACTGATGTAGGTTAGGGACCTTCTCGTATCCCCTTCTCGTGGGACCTTCACCCACCAGGGTGGGAGAGCCCTTGGGGTCAGCAGAGGCTCTCTCAGCCTGTGTCTGAAGCACAGCACCAGCGGGGGTGCGAGAAATCTGTCTGGTCCTGTGTGTCACAAGCATCCTTGTTTCCCCCAGGCGATGCTTCCTCGGGGGGACTGCAGGGAACCCCTCTGCCCAACCCCAACATCAGCTTTCACCTCTGGACAGAAGATGACCAGCTCTGTGAGTGCTCTTGGGGGCCTGTGGCGAGTTTGGGTGGTGCCCGAGGCTGGGAAACCTGTGCAAAACATGTTATTTAACCCTGATTCTTGGGCTGTGGGTCTCATAACCGTTGCCCAGGGGCCAAACTTCTGGAGGCTCGTGCCTACTGCACCAGTCTTCCTTCTTGTTGGGATGTCTGGGTCAGGTCAGGGGATTAGGGAGGGAGAGGGGTGAAGGAGGTGGGGAGGGGACCCCCATGGGACAGGCTGCAGCAGGACAAGCCCAGGGTACATGATTTGAGTGATACTGAGCTCTCCTCGTGGTGCAGTGTGAAATGGGTCTGAAAGACTGACTCCTCTTGGAGATATTGATCCTCCGGTTTGCATGAGAAGAGGGGAGCCAGGGCAGGACTGGGGCTCAGCCAGGGTTTGGTGGTATTTCCCTCCTTGAGCTCCCTCCTTGCCCGCAGGGAAGGAACTGGTGCTGTTCATCCGCCCGCTGTCGCAGAGCTGTGAGCCCAACTGCCTAAGCCAGGACCTGGACAACTTTGAGATCCAGGACATCATTTCGGAGTGCGAGTGCTGTGAGCAGACCCGCTTCTCCGTGCTCTCCACCGACAGTGGCATCGAGCGAGACCTTCCCGCGGCGGCTGAGGAGCCCTTCGCCCCTTGCAGCGCCGAGACGGAGCAATCCCGGCTCCAGAGGAAAGGTGGCATCAAAAAAAAGCTGTCACCGCTGGAGAGCGTGGCCTTCCTGCAGGCTGGCTGCAACGGTGCTGGGGCAAAGCCCCTGGCGAAGCCTCCAAAGAGAGCGGGCACCCCCCCAGAGCCAGCAGCCCCGCTCCAGAAGCTCCACACTGCCCGCATCGTACTGCTGGGGGACGACCGCATCCTGGGGCGCCTGGCCCAAGCCTACCACTCTTTGAGGTAACCAGTGGCCATGGCCTCTTTGGTTCTGGGGGCTTGGGGAAAGTGCAGGCAGGGTGGGGGCTTGCTCTTCAGCTGGTTGACACAGCCAGGATGGCTGGAGATAGGGTTGGGCTCCAGCGTTACCAGAGACAGGTCGGGACCCAAGTGTTTTGCACCCAAAAGCACCTGGCTGCATGGCATCGTTTGGCTCTGTCAGCCCAAATAGAATCATAGAAATGCTGAGGTTGGAAGGGACCTTTCAGGTCACTGAGTCCAACCATCAGCCTAACACTAACAAAAACCATCACTAAACCATGTCTCTAAGCACCACATCTGCCCGCCTTTAAATACCTCCAGGGATGGTGACTCCACCACTTCCCAGGCAGCCCATTCCAAGGCTTGATAACTCTTTCAGTGTAAAATTTTTTCCTAATATCCATCCTAAACCTCCCCTGGCACAGCTTGAGGCCATTTCCCCTTGTCCTAAAATGATGCACAAAGGGAGATTTTCCTTTCTCTCCATGGTTTAATGAATAATAAATGAGGATGCTTTCCTATGCAAAAAGAAAAAATCCTAAAGAAAAGCTGTTTTCCAGCTGCCCATCCAGGAGACCAGCGTGGGATGGGTGTGGGTTGTGGTGGAGGCAGCAGCCTGGGGAGCAGCCTGGGTGCAGAGGGGACCACTAGTCCCATCTGAGAGACCGTCTGTGCGATGTCCCTTACCCCCAGCATCTCCCCTTGCCGGACTTGGGAACTTGGGGGCATCACTGCCATCCTGTCCCACTGGGCAAAGGAGGTGTACAAGGAGGGCATGAGCTCCTGATGCAGAGAAGATGTGGTCTCCTGGCACTGCCCAGCCTTGGCCAAGAGCCTTTTCCATCCCACCTTCCCCTTGTGATGTGGCTATTTATTCTTCCACTTTAAGGAAACAAGAAACACGGCGAGTTTTCCTGACTCCCAGGCTGAACCTGCAGTTCTACTACATCCCGGTTGTGACAGGGCAGCCCAACACCTTGGCCGTTGCGGTGAGTCTGGGTTCAGCAACTCCGGGCGCTGCCACCGGCTGGTAGTGTTTTTGGAGAAATTCCTGCTGTTTACAGGAATTCACATCCATTAATGCCTAGTTCCTAGAAGCAGGAAGATGGGATCCAGGACAGGGCTCAGTTTGCAGGCTGACTTCAGGAATCCAAAAGCTCCAGAGACATTCAGGCTGCTCCAACCACCCCAATGGGTGATAACTCACAGCCTAGAAAGGGTACTCAGTTTTGCTGCCATGCTCCAGCTATAGGAGGATCAAGGGAGCTTCAGCAAAGGACCGATGCTTTTCCCACCTCCCAGATGCTCAAGGGGAAGTGGTCGTCCTTTACTGAGGGCTTTGCCTGCTTGGTCACGGCCCCAGCTTTAGTTCTGCAAATCACCACCTTGCAGCTTATCTCGGGCAAAATCTCTTCCCCTCTGACAGCCTTTTGACAGCGATAAATAAACAGTTGCACTTCTCACAATGTTTGAAGCTGGCCCAGGACTGGCGCTGAGTCCTGACTAATGTGCTGTTATAAAAAAATCAACATTTCTTCTTTTCATTCTTCACTTGGTCTTTAGCACCTGCTAAGCGAGTGCTGCAAGAAATGTTTTGCCGCCTCCTCTGGACCAAGCAGGGAATGGGGAGGGATGGGGCTCATGGGGCATTTGTGCAGCAGATCTCTCTTCCTCCTGGTATTTTGAGCCTTGATCATGCTCTGAGCTGTGTGTTTCTCCCGCAGGACCACGCTGCCACCGGCCAAGAGGAGCTCTGTGAGGTGGCTGGGTACCTGGGCAGAGCTGACCCATGGTATGAGAGCAACATCAACACGCTGTGCCACATGATTCCCAAGCTGGCCACCATGGTACGAGGGACACCTTCCCACCTCCCCAGCCCGGCTCATTCCCCAAACCCGTCTGCAGTCCCTGAGGATGAGCTCATGCCCTGCAGAGCTCCTCTGTCACCCAGACAGAGGTTTTCTACCTACAAACCCGCCTGGCAGCTGGAAAGGGGCCTGGCAGCTGGAAAGGTGCCTGCG